AAGGACGGCGGCGTGCAGTCGACTGGTGTTGTGCGGGAGTTGCCCCGCAAGGGACAGAGTGGTGTGCAGGCGTACACCGTCGCCACACAGGAGAATGAAGGATGGAAACTAATCCGCATTAAAGCGTTCACGAGGGACTTGGAGGACACATCGAGGTACTGTACGAAAGCTGGTCAGGAGGTCATTGATTTTGTTGGGACTAAGGCCACATGTTTTGAAGCAGATGTCCTCAACGATGAAAAGCACAGGGAATACATCAAGAATATCATTCCTGCTGCCATCAAACTTCACAGGGAACGACTGCGTGTACAACCCCATAAAGGCAAAATAATCGTGACCCAACTTGAGGGAGACTACTGTGAGAATTTCACTATACCCGAAGAGCACCGCACTGAGGGTGTTGACGCTGACTTTGTGCTCTACGTGGCGGCCATACCGTGGCATTGGTGGTCTGGTGTCACATGTGCAAGAGAAAAACCGTCAGGTCGCCCAATCGTTGGAGTCATGAGTTTTATTCCCTCCTTATACGGTGGCCTGCGATTGAACGTTCGTCGTTTTGCGCACGAGATGGCACACGCACTGGGATTCAATATTTTTGAGATGGATAAGAAGAACATGTTGTTCCGTGTTGGTATTCGCGGCATGATTCGTACGGTGGTGCGTTCCCATGTGGCGATGGGGAAGGTGAAGGAACACTACGGTTGCCCTGATCTGGAGGGTGTGGAGCTGGCGCAAGCTGATGAGTCTCACTGGGTGCAACGTGTGGCGAAGGACGAGTTGATGGCCGCGCCAAGTGAATCTGGTGCCGGTTACTATACAGCACTGACAATGTCAACATTTGAGGGTCTGGGGTACTACAAGGCAAACTGGGGAATGGAGGAACCAATGAGCTGGGGCCACAAGGGCGGATGTGACTTTCTCAAGGAAACTTGCACTGAAAACGAGAAACACTTTTCTGATCAATTCTGCAATGACACTACTGCTTTGGGATGCACGTCGGACCGCACTGCGTACGGGATGTGCTCTCAGGAATCACAACGACAAGCAAATCCAAGTTCCAATGATGTCTGTCACTTGATTGGAGGTTCTCCTGAAGACCTCTTTACATCCTTTTCTTATTGTACTGAGGCTAGGGGCGGTCCCCTTACTGGATCGCTGATGGGCCCTGATTCGTGGTGCCTGGATGGTGAGGGACTGCAGGTGCAAAATGCTGGGGGGAGGGTTGAGAGCCTGTCCGGTGTGTGTGCGCGGGTGTCGTGTGATGAAGGCAGACGTGCAGTCGAGGTGCAGTACAAGGGTAGCGACACATTTAAGGAAT